AAGGCAGTAGCTTGTCTCTGTCTCAGAGAAATTTCATTATTTAGTTTACTGATCATTAAAAGAGGATGATACCCACTCAAATCAAGATATGCCTGTTGAGCACTTACTGTGTGCTCCTCTGGGCACTGGAGACCATGCGACGGACAACGTGGACTCCCTGCACTGAAGGGAGACAGAGCTAAGCTCCCAAAGACCTGGTTCCATTCTGGCTCAAAATTCAGATCAAGCTGTCAGCAGTATAGTTAGGGAATACCATTAGGTTGATGAAACAAAGTCTTAATCAGGTTTCAAAAACCACCAAAAGTTCAATTCAGAGTCTCGTTTGCCTAGCTATGAGCAATGCTAAGAATCCAGTGATACGTTAGGACACTAGATGATTAATGGGGGTTTGGGAGTTGGGTTTTAGAGTCTTGGTCCCAGGCAGGCCTCCCTGTTAGCTAACATTTTCAGGGCCTGAGGAAAGAGTATAACTAAAGATCCATATATCATGTCTACATACTTCGTTATAAATCATACCAAAAGCTGTTATATAAAGTATATTATATTCTCTTGCCTTGACAAATATACCTCCTTTATAAACACCTGGAAGGCCTCCTGGATCAAACTTGGAACTCACACTCCTTGGGAGTCCCTATCCACGCCACCTTTTCTTTCCACCTCTGGCTCTATCCCATATTACCAGAGGCTTTTACTTAAGTGTGGCCACCCAGCTCATCCTTCCTCACCAACATCCACTCCTTAGGTCTAGGCATTTGGACATTGTGGCAAGGTCTGCACCCTGAAGGCAGACCAGGGAAGAAGATCACAAAAAATCCTGGCAAGCAAGGTTGGGGATGTCTGGGCAATAGATTCCAGGGGTCTCGGGTACCCAGAGTGCAGTCTAGGAGTGGGGGGAAAGGGTACAGGTTCTGGGTGGGCACATTTCCAAGACTCCATGGAGTGACCTTCTAGTACACTGGGTCCAAGGATAGAGGCCCTTTCTGCCTGGGTCTAAGGGCAGAACTATTGCTAGTTCTGCATCTCACTTATGACCTTAGGCAAGTTAATTTACTTCTCTTGAGCCTGTCTGTGGCAGACAGTTTCCTGGTATCTGGAGATCTGGAGGAGGCCCCCAGTGGCCCTGTCTGTAATGTGCGCTAACCCTCCAGCCAAAGGTGACAGCCAGAGGTGGGCACATGGCCCCAGCCAGGCCAATCAGATTCTCCTGGGAATTGAGAATGTGAAAGCTGGAACAAGGAGACACATTAATGACAGGGCTCTAAAGGGAAAAGCCACAAAGTTCTACTGCCTCCAGGGCTCCCCAGGGGCCCTAGTCTTTATTACCTTCTCAGATGACAGTAGTTATTCATGGCTTCTTGCACTTCAATTAATGCCCCTTTTGGTTCAGCCCCTTTGGTTCTACCCAAAGCCTACTACTGTCACTCATAACAATTAAAAACAAAACTAAACTTAACCAAGTCACCAAATCTGTAGCAGGACAGATACAAAAGGTGATACTTGGCTTACCCACCCTACCAACACTGGGTTTATAAAGAGAAAACATACTCAACAGTGCTTTCAGGGAAGGAAGAGTCTTTCAGCTGAGGTACCCCACAGTGTCTGTCAGGTCGCAGCATTCACCATCCACTGAGTGAACACACTGACTCAGGTAACTTACACACCGCCTCATGCCTCCACTTCCCCACGTCCTCAGCTCCCGTATCCCTCTGCCTAGAATCCTGACCCACTTCCCTCCACTATCCATTTCCTTCCCTGACAATTCCGGGCTTGAGGACTTCAGTCTGATAGTCCAGTTAAGACTAGTAACAAGCACTCTTACAGCATTAACTGATCTCCTCTCCTCAAATGGGCGTGTCAGTTTCCTCAGGAAGAGATCATAGTGAAAGGCAGAGTGCTGAAGAGATCAGACTTTCAATAAATACCCATGAGCTGAAAGGATTCAACTTGCCTTTCATTTGCCAAAAAGAAGCCCATGAGTAACTATAAAGGATGAATTCTCCTATCAACCATCAAATTATGGTTGTGAGAAGCCATTTAGAAGAATAGGAAAGTACAATGACATCAATGCAACAGGAAACTGGTAAAACATTATGGTGAGGCAAGAAGAAAAATGGATGCAGCCATTTAAAATCATGCTCTCCAATGCAGATGTGAAGATTTGAGGAGTGCTTATGAAAAAATATTCAGTGAAAAGGGCAAAAGACAAAACCATGTACAAATATATAACATATATACATATACAGTTGTCTCCTGGTATTCATAGGGAACTGGTACCAGGGGCCTCCCAAGGATTCCAAAGTCTGAGACTACTCAGGTCCCTGAAATAAAATGGTAGGGTATTTGCATGTAACCTACACACTCCCTCCCATATACTTAAAGTTAGCTCTAGATTACTTACACTGCCTAATACAATGTAAATGCTATGTAAACAGCTGCTATACTGTATCATTTAGGGAATAGTAACAAGGAAAAAAGTGTACAGTTCAGTACACAGATTTTTTTTTCCAAATATTTT